TTGAGCCCCTCTCCTCTTTGTTCTTGCTCAGCTCACACGTATTCACATGAGGCACAGTATTGAGATCAAAGACAGAGAAAAGGTGTGAATGGAACAAGTAAATTTATTAAAGAGGTACTTTGGCATGGCATACTGAAGGGCACCCCAGCTAGTCTGAGATGCCCACTGGCTGCAAAAGTATGCTCTTCTGATGGCAAGCCTTCTGTTATTGACTGGATTACTTCCTCGTTACACCGTGGGTACCCCGGAGTCATGTGATATTTTTGTCACCATGCCCCCAACTAAGGGTCATTCAGTCATTGTGGGGGTAATGTGACTATCCTGCCTTTCCACCCACATCATTTCACTGTCTCCTTCTTGAAACTATTGATAAAGAACTGTCTTTTCTGCTCTTCACCTTCCTTTTTGCGGGGAAGTTGTTGATAAAGAAAATGTGCCTTCACCTCTCGTAGTGCTGGAAATCTCTCCCATTGTCTCTTTCCCCTTGGTCAGAATCTGTCTACCTAGTAGTACCAAGAATAGGGGCTTAGTAAAATATTAGTCTCATTACGAATGCTCTCCTTTTTAAAATTAGTTTACCATCATTCTCTTAAACATTAGAGTATTATTCCCAAAGGGAAATATATGCATTCTTTCATCATTAAGAAAACCATGTTGAAGGGCCTTCATTTACTACTATTCTAAAACCTAATTAGTATTGGACTTCTGCCACTAGGATGAGTTATAACTGTATCACAAGGTTATTGGGAGACAGTTTCCCATTTCTGCAAATCTTGCCCGTCGAGGCCTTTGTTCCAGACTGTCCTCAAGAAGATGCCAACTCATAGCGACCCGGCAGGATGGGCTAGAACCGCGTTCCCAGGCTGTAGCTCCTTACAGGAGTCGACCCTCCCCTCTCGCCCCCAAGGAGTGGTTGGTGGTTTCAAAGTGCCGACCTTGCAGTTAGCAGCCCAAAGGTAAGCACTGCACCGCCAACAGAAGGTTAACACCCTCCAGAGCCGAGGAAGACATGCTTACTGTCTAGTGGAAAGCATTCACATTCCCTAACTCCAAAGGAAGACAGGTCATTTCCTTAATTCCACTTCCGGTGATTTTGAGGTAAAAGTCCTATTCCCTTTGTGAGGTTTCCACACTGAATTCTTCTGGTGTAGTGTATGTAGGCGGTTGTGTGTCTCAGAAGGACAGAGTCTTAAAGTCCAGGAGTCTATAGCACAGAGACTGAGTCACCCTCACAGTGGGGACGTGTGGAGAAGAGGAGAACCAAAATAGACAGAAACCAGGGGTGTGGCTTGGGGGTGGATGCTGGAATTTTGTTGCCATGGCAGCACGAATGTGGGGGGAGGGGGGAGGGGTGTCTGTACACTCCAAGGAGAAAAGCAAAGCAAAGAAAAAGCCCTTGTTTTCCTGGGTGGGAGAAATCTGTTTTCTCAGTAGGGTGGGGTTTTACCTGAAGAGAAAGTAGGTGAAAACTAGAAAATAATTTAAAGGCATTATAATAGAACAAAAGTAAAACAGCAAATAAAACATAAGACCGCTGTGGGTGAGGATTCATTCTGCTGTGGTAGTGTTCTTGTGTGCCCTGTGCTGCGTAGGGGAAGGGAGGGTGCATCAAGGGTGGGGCGGGCATCAGTGAAATACAGGAACAAAGGAGGAAGGGGGAAAAGGAGAAGGGCCCCGGAGGCCAGCGAGGAGAGAGGGTGGCTTGCCCTGTTGCCTCGGGCTGGGACAGTCAGCAGTGGGGTGCACAGAAGCAGCTCTTCTTGCTGGTGATGTTGAAATGGAGTCTGTCGGCCTGACTTGCTGCTCGCCCACTTTAAGAATCTTAACTTCACTTGTAAGTTGATTTTCTCGCTGCTCGGAAGTTCAGGGTGACCCCCTCCTAGAGGATCATCTCAGGGAGTTGCTAAGGACTTTCCATGCTTGTTAGCCAGCATATAAATTCCCCCCATCTCCCCAGAACGGAAATTCTTGATGCATTCCTTAGATGATAAACCATTTCAGGAAAGAGTCCCATGTGGCTATCCAAGCAAACCGCTGAGATTCACCACGTCAGAGTGAAGGAAGCACACATTCAGTGAGCATTTATCCAGCACCAAACACTTCCTGATGCTCTTCCTCATCCCAGGGGTCCAATGAAGTGATCTCTTGCTATCGCACTTTAAATGACAGGTTTCTGAATGCCTTTATCAAATTGCATGTTAACATAAAACCTTCTTACCTACCACATGAGCCAAGTACTTAAGTCTGTTGGAGTGGTTGAGGACATTAAAAGGCTACACTATACCTCAAGCATTTTATAAGAAAATAAAAAATACCAAATGAGCATACATTAACCAGGTATTTAGGGCTAAGGCCTTTTCTTTGAGCTATCCAAAAACTGGAAACTCATTTTTAATGTTCTGTTTCTTGAGCAAGCACTTACAAAGCAGTTCTCCTACATTTCTTCAGTGATTTTTTTGTCCCCCCGATGTTGTACAGCTGTTCTCATGTAACGATCCCTATTGTTTTTCCCACATCTACGGCATGTTTAATGGGCAGGCCTGAATTATTCTGAAGCATTCAGCTTCGTTGTCATGACCAAAAGGCTTCTCACATTTACATTTCCTTAGTTTATGTAGTGTTGAGTTAAATTGCCTGACTTAGAATACAAGTTTAACTGGTTTAACCCAGTTTGGGAGCAAATGTAACTGATTCCCAGAGAGCTTGTGACTCAACTGACAGGCACTGAGTGTGGAAATCTACCGGAGGTAGCCTACCGCCTCTTCCGTTGTGGACGCCACCTACGTCCGTATGTTTTCAGACTTCTGCTCACATCCACCTTTGGAGATCAGAGTGGAGACGGGAAGCAGGGGTATTCTGTCATGTTCTTTTGAATGACACTGTCCGTCATACTTGAAGAAGGCTGAAGAAATTGTCTCCAGGCACAAAATACCTAAGGTTTCTCTTTTTAAGATATCCAAGTTACTATGTTGTGTTCGCACCACTGCCTTTTGATCCCTGTACAGGTCCTCATGCACACAGTCAAGTATGCACCTAGATAGAGGATAATGAGAAACATTGGGCTCATATTTTAATTTTTTTAAACTAGTATAAATCAACATGCTTTTATATTTTTTAAATCTATAGCCATAATTTTGCTTTCAACCTTATGATTATAAAGATTCAGAATGTTGTTCCAGGGTCTTCTCTTCCGAATATTTCTTCGGATCTGGGTGTTGTTCGGTTGTTTGCGACTGTTTCTCTTGTTATGTGTGTACTGTGGTTGGTTGCTGCAGCGCGGTGCAGTGGTTCCTGTTGGGAATGCTGCTGAATCACGTGGAAGTAGTTGGCTTGTCTCACTGTAGCCTGGGGAAGGCTGGGACTGGGGCCTGAGCCTGACTTGGCATTACCAAGTGCTTCCTTGCCTGGAGTGGGTTGCCAAAAGCCTTCCAATATTTTTATTTATTAAATGTTTCTCTGATCTTGTAGCAGTACTTTAAAAATTATTCTCATATATACTCACTAAGTACTTATTATAACATCGACTTTATATGGGGTATTATTTTGAATTGTGAGACTAAACCAGGGAATAAATAAGTTTTTACTCGCAAGGAGCTTACACTCTTACAGAAGAAAGGCAATCAGTCAGTCAAGCAATACTAAATATCACAACGCTGTAAGGCCCAAGAAGGAAAATATAACAGTGTGAGAGGTGTAACAGAGAGTGGTGCTACAGCTTGGGTGACTGAGCTGTAAGATGGCATTTGAACAATTTAAGTGAGTAAATCAGCAGTCTTCAGGGAAGATGTAGGCAAAGCAACCAGATCAATATTCCCAAGGTGGGAGGATGCATGATGTGCAAGGCAGTGAGGGCCTGTGTCTGGAGGCTACCGCCGAAGGAGTTTAAGTCAGGTAATGAATGCTTTAAGGCTTTTGTTGTTGTTGCTTAATTTCTCTATATGTAGTCTGGAGACTATTTCCAAACTCCCAATTAAAGCACCAGTGTAAGTAATGTAAAGCTTATTGTTGCTTATTGGATTCTCTAAGGTTATAACACCCTGATGTAATTATAATTATATTCTGGCTCCATCACTGACTGCCATGTTCTTCTCTCCTCTGTAAATGATACCAATTCTGCCTCTGTTGGTCTTTGCACAAAACTAACTATTATAGGGGTCAAGTGATTAGAAATTATCTTAAAAGCGGCCAATGCTTTTTTTTTTTATTATTTCATGGCGGGGCTTTAATGCAGGTTTGGTAAGATCTGACTGGTCACACTTTTCGAACAGAGCTACCATAGATGATCAATACCTTCATAGCACATATCAACTTTTGTGTGAATACCAAATTCATGGTGTGGCTTTGTCAGATAACAGTTTGGAATCAGAACCAGCGTGCCCATTAAATGAAATGTTTTGGAAACAATGCAACTAATGCAGACAATTTAGCAAATATATAGGTAACCATCTATCCTTATTATTCTTTCAAGGAAAAATTATCTGAGTCTTATGAATGTCTATGTTCTCAAATATAAGCAATTAAGAGAGATTTTTACACTTACCTGTACCTGCGCACATACGCTGGTCTGGCCCGCAGTGAAAGGCAAGGATACTAGGTTATCATAATGCAAAAGCTGGAAGTGAAAAATGTACTTCAGAGCAACAGTAGAAAAAGCAAGGCTACTGCCGTGGAGTTGATTCATTCAATACTTTAACATAAAAAAACATTAAATACCATCAACTCCAATTCTTTGGGACTCTGCTTAAATTTTTGGTAAAAGAATTAAGAACTTGCCTCCAATTTTGTTGTTCTAATCTAAACAGTTTTAAATACAATACTTGAAATTGAGTAGGGCAGAGAGCTATTCAAGATTACTTATTTGCTTGTTTTTGTGTTTATATGTGTGTGTTGCGTTTTGGTTTTCTTTTCCCTCTGCATATTACAAAGTTTCCACAAATCATGCTATTTAATGAAAACAATCAAATTGTGCCACCAGTTTCAAGCGTGATTTCCACTCACAGGTAGCTGTAAGTGACATTGAAACTGAAGAGAACCGCTGCTCTCTCTTCATGGAGCTCCTTGACTCCAGCTCCCAGGAGGAGGACTTCCAACACTTGGTGTTGCTCCTGCAAGCTTGGCCACCTGTGAAAAGTGAATGTGTGTAAGTACTAACATAGAGTTAGCATCATTCATTTTCCTGCCTGTGATTTTGTTCTAAATATGCCATACCTTCGAAAGAGTCTCCTTGTTCATGACCTCACATTCTAGTCTCAGACAGTGCTTCATAACAGCATCCTATTTATGAGGTTTTCAAAACAATTTCATCCTGGTATTTTCACCAACAACCAACAAAGGACTACCTTCTAATATAACTCATAATGCTAACTTGTGAATCTGTGCTGAATACATGATTAATTGTCATGGATTGAAAACATACCATGTTATGTGTAATTCACATATATTATCAGTAGTTCTCACCACAAAGCAACAAAGGAAGGTGATGCTACCCCAATGCTACAGAATTGGAATTGAGGTGCAGAAGTGAGAGACGCTGGGCGTCGTGCAGCTGATCAGCGAAGAAGACAGGATTCTGGCCGTCTTCACAGTCCGTGCTGTGTCCTGCATGGCATGCCGAGCTTGCAGCTGCCATTCACAGCCATGCGTGGTCTTCATGCATCGCCTTGTGCTGTCAGCCACACGACTCGCTCTTCTCCTGCGGATGATGTGGCTAGATTTCCTCCGAGCTCATCTGCTGGCGATCATGAACTGCTTCTGGTTTTTGGCAAAAAGGACAAGTTCCAGTGGCGGCCTCTATTCGAAATGTCCTTTGGCTCCAGGACTCATCCTGGTCATCCCTTGCATGCCAGACCAAGGCTCCCTTGATCCGGTGCTTTCCACGTGTCGGCAGTTAAACAAGACGACGGCCTGAAAGTGCATTACACTGGGATCCGTGTAACCCTGCTCAAGAACCTCTGAAACAGACTCCCTGCCTTCACTCCAGCGTGAGACCCCTCAGAATGTCTAAAGCATACCTAGGAGAGTGGTGTTTTGTTTAGTTTTGTTTTTTAACCAAGTGTTTTTAGGGAAAGTGAAAAAAGCAACTCAGCTCTCCAGTCTCCGACAGAGATGGCATGCTGACATGTACTTCCAAGAACAGATTGTTTCCTGCGCCGTTTGAAACTGCAGTACAGGCCCTCGCATCATAAAAGCCTTCCGTTTCCCTGGTGACAGGAAGGTGGGAGCTGCTTGTTAAAAGTACATCCTCAAGTGGCAGGTTAGACTTGCTGAACTTTCTGTGGTGGGGCCTGGGAATCTGTTTCTAAAGAAAATTCCTATATGATGATAATATGAAACATAGGCCATTTAAAATCACTCACTTCCTGTCGCAACGTATACTTACAAGATGCAAAATCAGCTCTACTTAAGCATATTATACACTGGTAGAAAACACATTCTTAATTCTTAAAGGTTTACTCTTATTTTTGTAGTCATGTTTTGATATTTCTACAGTGTTAGCCCATGTTCCATAAAACTGTTAAATCATTAGCATTAGACCATAGTAGTGAACAATTTGCTGAGCCCCCAGCATGCATTTCTCCTCCTCCGAGTACTCACAGGCCAACTAGACTTGTTCTATCCGACCACATTCTGCCTCCGAGTGCTGCTGACCAGAGGAGGCTGTCTGATGGGATCCCTCCGTAGATGTTCTCAGAAGTACTTTCAGACCTTTGTATGTGAGACTGGGGCATTTCCAGAATCCCCAGAGAGCGCCTTAGTGATGAAGGAGAGAGAGAGAGAGAGAGAGGAGTAGAATGTGTGGCCATGGTTGAATGATGCTGGTAAATACAGTAAAGTTAAAACCTAATAAATATGCTTGGCATGCCCGCTGAGTTGCCAATGCCAACAGTGAGACTTAAGGACTGTGGTTTTTCGTTTTCAGTCTCTGTTTACATGAAGACAAAGATGAGTCGCAATTTAGTAGTTAGAGAAGATTTTTCGTTTCCCCCCAGTGGATCCCTGCTAACTGCTAAAGGCCACACCTGTATCATTTGTTATCAGAGCTCTTCCAGGAACACCTAGGAGAGCAGAATTCAGATTTTGAGAGACGAAAGCCGAGGGTTAGTCCTGGAGCCCTGGAGCATAACACGCGTCCTCCGTCAACCAGACATTCGCATCGAGCCTTCTTCGTACTTTGGAAGACCCGTTACTTTTTGTTACCACAGCTGAGAGTTAAAAAAAAACACACAAAAAAAACTGCAGACTTCTCTGATAATGATGGCACTTGAGATTTTTCTTAGGAGGCAAGGTATGAAATCCATTCAAGGGTAGGACCACCCTTCGGTGCTCAATGTCTAGAACCTAGTGTTGTGCTAATGGGACAACAGACTCTGAAGACATACTAACATGTCTTAAAATCAGTGTACATAAAACCGTTACTCTGTTCAGGCACTGTGGAGTGAATTTATCTTTAACTTCTCTATTGAAATGCATCTTGTGATGTTGTAATGAAAGCTGGGATAATGACAGTCAGGGCAAGGAGAGAAAAGGCCTTCTTCTATATACTCCTATGTTTCAGAAAGAGGAAAACAATGTGAAGCCGAAGTATGGCCTCCTGTTGCGGGTCTGTGGTTTCCCTTCTGCTGGACTCCAGACCGGCCTCTGACATACACCGTCCCCTTTGTCATTGAGTTCTGCCATGGTCCCTTTATTATTAGAGCAGTGATCCTATCATCAAGTGACAATATGTACATGGTAAATGTAAGCTGTTCCTGTATTTAAGAAGAATACTTCACAATTGCAGACATCATTCGTTAAATAAACCACCCTGCAAGGAAATCATTGTCTTTTTTTCATAAACGAGAAAACGGAGGCCCAGAATGGTTGGGCGTCTTCTCCAGAACCAGATTGAGTGTACATGTATATATAATATATATATATAGGTAGCTTTATGAATCATCCAAATCGTAAGTCAAGGAGCCAGAATTTGCGCCCAAATCTCTAACTTTACAGCTTATCTCTTTGAACTCCCAGTTGTTTGTAGCCACGGGGGAACTTGTTGGTGTCACAGTAAGCTGCTTTTTCTTTGCTAGGAGCGTAGTTTTCCCACCAGATAGAGCTAAAAGAATACACCAGCTAGATTCTGACTCTAATTTGCCATAAGAGTTTTCTTTGAAAAAGTGAGATTTCTTTCTTAAATTTGTTATCACAATTGTGATGGGTGTGATCCTTTCCAATGCTGTGTACTTTTCTCCATTAGAACAAACACTCACCCATGGGTGAGACTAGTTACAGCGATGTTGACCAGATGTACCGCAGAGAACAAGGCCAGGCTGGGAGAGGAAGTACTGAAAATCTGTCGGTCTCTGTATAGCACTCAGCAGATGCTCCCTGCAGAGGTGAGTGGGCCTCAAGGGCTTTGCGGGGTCTCCCTTTTCAGCACACAGCGTTCAGTGTAAGCATACGAAGGCAGTGCTTGAGGAACAGCTGGCCTCCGTCACTGTGGTACGAGCCTGTCGTTTGTATCAGGGCAAGTGAGGAAAAGCGACAAGAAAGGATGCTTTGAGCGATGTCTTTTGGTTGGAGCTTTGACACCAGCGTCTCTAGACAGCGGTAAAGAGCCTTCTGGCGGCGGTGCTGACTGCCCGCTGGCAGGCGGGGACGTAGATTTGGTAGGCCATTCCTGAAGGCAGTACTATGGAAAAGTGGAACCATTATAATAAAACTGACAAAACAGCCTACGACGGGCATCTGATCTGTAAGCACTCATTTCCCAAACGTGCCAGGACAGAGACTTGGCTGGAAAGGCAGTCCTGCATTCGTTGTCTACGGGGTCCAGAGCAGCGGCTCTCCCCCTTCCTGATGCTGCGGCCCTCTCAAACAGCAACTCTTGGTGCGGTCCCGTCCCCCCACCCCCACCCCACCCAACCACAAACTTATTTTCGCTGCTGCTTCATCACTGTCATTTTGCTACTGTTATGAATCGGACGACCCCCTGTGAAAGGGTCGTTTGACCCCCAAAGGGATTGTGACGCACAGGTTGACCTTTACCCCTTGAATCTGTAGTTCTTTTTTAAATGGATAAAATACTTAAAACTTCAATTAACACCACTTTGTCCCTCCCTCAGAATACCTTAAGCATGCAGTCACAAGAATATTTTCATTTAGTGATTATAATTAGGATTCAAAAAACCTGTTTCAAGTTTATCTCATGGGATGAAAACTCAAAACCACTAATCAATTTAGTGCCATTATCCCAGCGCTTGCATTTACGACGTGTGACTGCCCGAACAGTGCGCTGCTGAGCCAGAGTTTGCAGCAGGGACTGTCGTTCCTGTGTGCTATTCTGGAACGTACGAAACTCGATGTTCCCGCAAGAGCCCTGAGGCGCAGAGCCGGGCTGCGAGCAGATAGGTGGGGTTTGAATCCATCAGCTGCTGTGGGGAGAAGACCTTGGCCGTCTGTGGAAGGGTGTACTGCTTTCAAAACTTGAGGGGACAGTTCCACCCTGTGGGGGTGCTGTGAAGTGGAATTCAGCTTGATAGCATTTGGTTTACATGTATGGGTTTACATAGATAGCATGGGTTACATGTGTGTGTATTATATTTAAACGTATACATGCTACCACTGACCCTTGAACAACACAGAACTGTGAGTCTGCAGGCCCACTTACACGTGGATTTTGCCCCCCGGGGTTCGTGTAGTACTGGAGCCCTGGTGCCAGAGGGGGTTCACAGTGAGCTGTGATCTGTAGGTTGGCAGTTCAAATACCAGCAGTTCCTCCAGAGAACGACAGGGCCTTTCTACTGCCACCATACACAGTTAATGACTGTTCTATCCTGCCCTATGGGGTTGTTAGAAATTAGCATTGAGTTTGGTTTGGGGTGTTTTTTGTTCTCATGGTGAGCAAAAGGGTTGCCAACATGTGTTTACTGTTTCACCTGGAGCGTGTAACTAGCCCACCTCTTAAAAGCCCATCATTCCCTGCGAGCGAAGAGAAAGGGATTGGATTTAATCTCATGTTGAAGTTGGCCACTAGAACCCCAGTTCTGGTTTGAGGAAATAGAACGATGAATATAGCAGTTCTGTTCGCACAGGGATTTTCCTTGTGTGCCTCAGTTTCTGTCTCTGTCACATTTAGGTATTGTTGGGATTACACAGCACAACCTACACCAGTTCAACAATGCAGTGTGCTCTCGTTGGCCGACCTCACCCTTCTGTTCGCAGGGCTGCCTGCCCTCCTTTTCTGAGTGGTTCCCCTGCTGTCCCTGACTGATCTCTTCAGTCACTGTCATCAATTTGATCTTTAGAAAGCACAATTGCCAAAGCAGAGCTTTCTTTCTTTTTCTTTCTTTTTTAAAAAATCGTTTTATTAGGGGCTCATACAACTTTTATCACAATCCATACATACATCAATTGTGTAAAGCACATTTGTACATTCATTGGCCTCATCATTCTCAGAACATTTCCTCTCCACTTAAGCCCCCGGCATTAGGTCCTCATTTTCCCCTCCCTCCCCGCTCCCCCCTCCCTCATGATCCTTTGATAGTTTATAAATTGTTATTTTGTCATATCTTGCCCTGTCCGACGTCTCCCTTCACCCACTTTTCTGTTGTCCGTCCCCCAGGGAGGACATCACATATAGTTCCTTGTAATCAGTTCACTCTTTCCAACCCACTCTCCCTCTACCCTCCCAGTATCGCCACTCACACCACTGGTCCTGTAGGGCTCATCCGCCCTGGATTCCCTGGATTTTCAGTTCCTATCTGTACCAGTGTACATCCTCTGGTCTAGCCAGACTTGCAAGGTAGAATTAGGATCATGATAGTGGGGGCAGGGAGGAAGCATTTAGGAACTAGAGGAAAGTTGTATTTTTCATCGTTGCTACGAGCCCTGACTGGCTCTTCTCCTCCCCGAGACCCCTCTGCAAGGGGATCTCCAGTGGCCTACAGATGGGCTTTGGGTCTCCACTCCGCACTCCCCCCATCATTCACTATCATAAGATTTTTTGTTCTGATGATGCCTTGTACCTGATCCCTTCAACACCTCGTGATCGCATAGGCTGGTGTGCTTCTTCCATGTGGGCTTTGTTGCTTCTGAGCTTGATGGCCGCTTGTTTGCCTTTAAGACCTCACACACAATACTTTTTGATAGCTGGGCACCATCAGCTTTCTTCGCCACATTTGCTTATGCACTCATTTGTCTTCAGTGATCCCTTCGACACCTCGTGATCACACAGGCTGATATGTTGTTCCATGTGGGCTTTGTTGCTTCTGAGCTAGATGGCCGCTTGTTTACCTTCAAGCTTTTAAGACCCCAGACGCTATATCTTTTGATAGCCAGACACCATCAGCTTTCTTCACATTTGCTTATTCGCCTGCAAAGCGGAACTTTCAACTAGTTAAGTTAAATGGTTATTTGGTTTTAACATGGCATTGGGTGCTTTTTGGCTTAAAGTTTAAGTATTTTCCAAGGACAATGATTTCATGTTTATCCATGCTTCATTGCTTCCATTTAGACTGTCTGAGAATTTTCAGTTCTGCTCCGCTGTCCCCCAACCATCTCCTCAGTACCCCTGTTGGGAGTCTTGGATCGGTGTGTGCTGTCAGGAGCCAGACACCACCTTGGTCTTGGGCAACAGCAGAGGGAACAGGTAGTTGTTCACACAGGCCTTCAGTCAGGCATTCCAAATATTTGTCTACTTGTCTTTTCATCACATGCACTTACTAATTTTCTCTGAAAATTAGAATGGCAGGCTATATGAAACTTTAAAAGTGCTAGATATTACTTTTACTCATAGAAACGTGCTTGAATATGAATTAAAGTGTTACAGAGGAGGAAACATCGTTGTGTAAACATGGAAATGACCTATTAAGTTTCTTTTGCCACATTTCAAAATTACACAGTTGTTTTTTTTCAAAATTACACAATTTAACTTCAGAGTTTCATGCTATCTTAGATCACCGGGGTGGTAAAATGATCCATGGTTTGCTGTTTTATTTAATTGAATTGGCTCACCTTCTTCATCCGGAACTTACTGGAGGGTTTTGCTTTTGTTCTTCAGGACGCTTTAGAAGCCGTTTTTGCTGATTTCCTATGGACTTGGGGCACTTGTTTATTTATGGCCATGAGCATTTTGCTGATGGAAATCTTACCATTGGACAAAAATCACTGTTTCACTCCATTCATTAGCCCCACGATCCTTGACAGGTCCCACCCCACCCCCACCAAATAGCACGGCCACCCCAATACTGTGCCTTGTGCACATAGGAACTAATGCGCGATGGGCTGCATGGTTTGCCAAAAATGTGCGCCACACACGTTATTTATTTCAAAGGATGCCATGTTTTCTTCTCAGCTTGCATCCATGGCAATTTATGAAATAGCCTTAGGAGGGGGCATATGTAGGGTAGTAAGTTGGCATAAAATAGGTTCTTGGCATTTACAGATTTGGAATCCCAGGTTTCAGCTATTTGTCACTGGCCCTGAAGCACCCCGATTTCACTGTGGCACAGGGTGACTCTAAGTGGCAGGTGTTATGTGGCAGTCAGTCACCCAGCTCGTGAATGAGCGAGGCAGCACACCCCAGCGTGTCACTCTCAATGGGCTGGTTCTCCTTTCTGGTTGAGGCACTTGGATAATGGCAAGAGCTTGCGTTTTAGAATCCTGCGACATTCAAGTTATTCATCCTTCCTCTCCTCTACTGTGCTCATCTGATTAGTGGAGATAATGATAGCATCTTCTCAAAATAGCTGAGGGAAAATTTACGTGGACTAGTACGTGGAAAACAGAATTACAACCATGTAGGGTCCATCTGGACAAGCCTTGGTGGCACAGTGGTTAAAGCACTTGGCCAATAAGAGAGAAGTTTGTGGTTTGAACCTGCTAGCTGCTCTATGGGAGAAAGGTGAGGTTGTCTGTTTGCATAACGATTTCCAGCCTTAGAAGTCTTTTTGGTTTTGTTTCTTTTTTAAATGGTCCAAGCAAGCTAGGAATACAGTGATGAAAAAATATTCTTGTCCTTAGCTGCTGCAGACATGAATAATCACAGTCAATGTGAGATGATAAGTATTGTAAGAAAGTGTTTACAAAATATGAGAGCGCTTCAGAAATGTGTGGGAAAGATCCATCGTCCTTGCCACGTCATCCCATCATCCCACCGACTTGGTGAAGCCCTTTCGTGTACTCGGAACACAGAAGGATCCTGGAGGATCCAGTTGAGACACCGGCACCCCAACAAAAGGCCTTTGCCAAGGAGGTGGGATGGTTCTGGGCCCTTTAAAGCAAAGCCTTCAAACACGTAGGCGCCATTCAGACAGTAGAGCAGTATGGGTTACCTCGAGGGACTCGCGGTGGGAGATGACCTGACACTCAGCCACAGGACCCTCCAAGCAGGGAGTCACTCACATGTGGCTGTTGACATTGAAATTCAGTAAAATTAAACCCGGTCCCTCTGTGGCAGAAGTCACAGCCCTAGGGCTGTGGCAGTTAGAGACCCTTCCCATCTTTCATCCTGGGCAGTGCTGACTATGCAGGGCCCTACTGTAACGGGTGCAGCAGGGGGTGGGGGGGGAGTTTTTTATACCTAATA